TTATGCTTTCCGTACATAGACTAACAACAATACTAGGTTGTAATTTTGTTGCTAAGCAACATGACATAAAAGCTACTGTTGGAATGTAGTGTTACCAAAATGCATTAGAAGTTATTAGTCTAACTAATTTTTTTTATCAATAATTATTTTATGAATATTCCACGAATTCATTTCATGAATTATCTTAATTTTGATTAGCTCCCAAAGGAATTTACCAATGTTTAACTGCCTTAAATGCACTTTTCTGCTTCTTCGATAGTCAAGATTGATTTCCAAAAATTTATCTATTTCAGTTATGAAATGTGAGGTTAGGGTATACTATGGGGTGGGGGTGGTAGTACTTGCTCCATCATTTTTGATGGGCTATATGCTAGTTATGTAAATAAATATTTAGAAATTCTTCACAGCCATTTTTATCTTTATCTCTAAACCATCTCCATTATCTAAGCAACAGTAAAGTTGTTATGTCTTTTTGCCATTTGCAAATCACACAAAAACATTAGCCTAATAAGGTTGGAATAAATTAGTACCACAGGTGTTCAAAATTGTTGAATGCATGAGAAATTATATTTTCAGAATTGAATATAACATCCAGTAAAGTTAAAGCAGATAGAGAAACATCATCTAGTCTACTCAGTAGAATTTGAACTCAATATGACATTTTATCAAGGCTGTACCATGCCTAATAATTTATTATGGAATTGGCTTGAAAAGTTGGGCTTGTGTACAATGAGAAACAATGGAAATAAAGAAGTTGTAAATTAGATTAGTTACCTCATGTAGTAAAAAATACCAGTATAGTTTACTGATAATTCCACAATGTTATAATGGTTTCTATTGTTGGGTGGGTACTTTTTGGGTTATTCATTAAAAAAATACCTTTAATGATGAAGAAGGCACTTTCTTCAAGTTAGTAAGCATGAGTAAATATCAGTGCAATCAGACCACATAGTCCATTAATAGTGTGGCCTGAGAAGATGTTCCTTTACATTGTCTGTTTAATCTTTAAAAAAAAAAAAACTGGCACCATCTTTATCAAATATATTCATGACAGATGATGAAAAAATGTGGCTTAATGGTTGATTGCCCAGCTGTAAACATTTGTCTTGCATATATTATGTTGACAACACATTAGCAATTTCAAAAGTTAGGTTCAGACTTACTCTAAATTCAAAATATACAAATAATAAGTTCACATGTGAATTGTAAAACCATTGCTTTCTTACATAAATTCATTACAAGGTCTGATAAGGGTTTGAGCATTGGTTGCTTTAATAAACACACATTTACTGGTTTATCCTTGTATCTTCAGAATTTTGTTCCTAAATTCTTTAAACAAACCTTGATAACTGTCTGAATTGCTAGAGCTTATAAGACTGATAGACCTGTTTTTGTTTACAACTCAGAATTAACTAACATAAAGAAGATTTTGTTGTAAAATGAATACATAGCTCAGACATTTAATTAAGTAATCATGAAGACTGTGTCAGAACTTAAAAACTAAAGGAACAGGTTAAAAAAAAAATTGTGGTACATAAACAAGTAGCCAGTTCTGTTTTTTATGTTAGTGAACTGTCAAATCAATTTTGCATAAACCTTGATTCTTGTTTCTTACAAATTGTGATCTTTTGCAGTAACTAGTTAACACTTCCACTGTTATCCATGAGAATCTATGTATTTCCATGCATAGTCCCACTGGCTAACTACGAAACTTTTCATTATTTTTACCCATGCTAAAGTATTGTACATAGCACGCCATCTGTGAGTAGAAATATGAGCTTATAATGGGTGTTTTGGAAAATACATTAATCAACCTCTATTTTATTTCATTCATCATGATAGTTTCATACTTTGTATGGATATTACAGAACCAAAAATATGACTTGAAGTTTTGGATTGCTTCCGGGACTTCCAAGATGGCAGTGCCCATGAAACGAGCTTTGCATCATTCTACTGAAGACATTTTGCGGGAAATATTCGCTAATGAGGACCCTGAATCCAATCAGTTTGGTTTTAATTCAAATGCAGAAGATTTAGAGGATTCCAATGAATGTAGCATAGATGATGAAAATGACTCAAATAATACTAATGAATCAAGTGAGGTGGACACGGATGGCATAAATGCACATAACGGTCCACGTAGGCCTAAGACTGGCAGTAATAGTGGTGCTACAGCTGGTCCTGCACAAGCACCTGGCCATGAATGAGGCATCCCTGTTTTAATCAGGGCAGGAGTAATTAAAATCAGGTAGGGGACTGCACTAATGTAGACAGACCATATGTACATCAGTTCATTGGTACTCCAGGTTTAAACATATACGGTCAGATAATACAGAAAGTTGCCTTCAATGGTTCAAAATGTTTTATTACTGATGAATTAATAGACATTGTTGTCAGAGAGACAAGTCTTTATGCTGCACAATTTTTTCAGAAACACCAAGATTTGAAAATATGTTCCTGTGCAAGACAATGGAGTGATTTAACATCTGACAAACTTGGGCTGTTTTTGGCCCTTCTCTTCAACACTGGGATTCTAAAAAATCCCAAGATTCAGACATACTGGAGTAGTGGAAAAAAAAAGTTACCCCTTTCTACCCTCATACTATGGCAAAGAATAAATTTCTACTGACATTGAAGTTTCCCCACTTCAGTGACAACAGTGGATGTCCCAGAAATTGTCAAGATCATCTCTGTAAAATTCAGCCTGATTTACGATTACATTATAACAAGTTCAAAATTGTATATACCTCACAGGAAAAACTGTTCCTAGATGAAAGAATGCTCAAGTGGCAAAGTCATTTATTTCCTGTTTACAATCTGCAAAAACCTGTCAAATATGGATGAAAGAGTATGTTGTTTTAGAGTCTGCTTGTGGATATGTTTGCAACTGTGACCTCTACTGTGAGGTTGGCAAAATGCTGCAGCAAATCTGTGGTGGTCTTGAATATATGTATGAGTTTGGCTGCAAGGTATACATAGAAAATTATTATAACAGTGTGGCCCTATCCAAGTTTTTGGTGGCAGATGAATGAAAGATCCATGTGTATGGAACTTTAAGACTGAACCAAGGTGCTCCTCATAATCTGTGGCAAGAAGCCGACAGACTGCAGAAGGGTCTGGTGGTTTTTTGTCAAGATAGAAATGTGTGTGTGTGTGGAAAGACAAACGGCCAGTAAAAATTATCTTCACACATTATGATTCCAGAATGAAGGACTCTGGCAAGTAAAAAAAAGGACAATCAGTCCGTCCAAAAACCAGCTTGTGTGCTCAATTACAACAGACACATGTCTGGTATTGACAAATTTGATCAAATGACCAAAAACTAACCTTGTACATGGAAAAAAAATCAAATGAACAAAGAAATTTGTTCTGTATGCATTTGAACTTTACATGGTCAACTCGTATCTTTTACAATCAAGCAAATTCAGAGGCAAAACTGTCATTGCTGAATTTCAAAATGGAGGTGACTGATGACATTCTGGTAGAATTTGGATAGGCAGAAGCTGCCCCTCCCCCATTTCCTCTGATAGTGAAGAGGGAGCACCCCAAGTTGAGGCATGTATTCGCACACTGAAGATTGATCCTGCCACACATCTAATTGGTGGATTCAAAGAACATGACTTGTTGGCCAAGCCACCAACAAATAAAAAGAAATACTGTACTAAACGATGCAGAGTTTGCAAAACAATGGTGAACGAGATTTCATTGTAAGAGATGTGCAATTCTGCTCCTCTAAGGGGAATGCTAAAAAGATACCATGTTTATATTCATTTCTGATCAGGTAAGGCATTCCTACATATGTACGTAAATATTCATTACTGTGAAACATTGAAGGTATTATTATTTCAAGTGATAAGGTGGGTAGCTTGAAATTATATGTTTTCTCAAAAAATGGTTAGCCATATAAGGCTTTGAAAAAGAGGTTAGAAGTGTGTGTTAAGGGACTGTTCAGGATTACAGATAGCATCAAAGAAATGCAGTGCTCATTGGTCATCTATAGCTACACATGTCAGCTTTGTGAGGCATTCTGCATTGTTAATACAAAATGCCAATCAAAATGACTTCAGTCCCCCAACAGTTCAGCAGTAGATTTACAGACTTACAAGGTTTGATTCCCCACAGTGGAGACAGCAGATAGTCCAATGTGGCTATTCTCTCCAGTAAATATATCCAGTAAATACTAACACGTGTGCACATTTCATAACTACTGAAAAATTTAGTGATTAAGCAGGCACTCTGTACTTAAGATCATCTTAATGGGATTGATTTGTGGAATCTTATATTATTAAAATACTTATCAACTATTAATTATACATAACTTATATACCAAGTACTTAAAACTAAAAATAGAAATAACATTCCTTATTATCTTAAGGCAAGGCATTCCAATATGAAAAATATAAGTTGACTGCACTCTATGTAATAGTCTAGTTGTCACAAACCTCCTTATTTTTTCATTTAATATTTCCTATTATAGAATTTCTTGTTATATGTATAGTAGTTATATTTTCTGTTATTATACAAGATGAAGTTTTCTCTTACAGCAATATCTTTACATGGCAGACCTTCAATGCCATGTTTATACTTCGCTCTGTGACCAAGTACTTCATCCAAACAGTTACAGAAGATAATCTTGTGAAACAGTTCCAGAGTAATCCACAAGATGACAGTGGTAAACATTGAAAACATAATTTTGTTTATAAATAACACAAATTTCTCGGAGTACTCATCAGTCTGATTATTTCAAAATTGAAGCATAGATTCAATGTTAAAACTAAATGGGCAACAGAAATTAGCCTGTTCTGTTTCTGGTACAAAGTGTTAATCATTATTTTTTTATAAAAACTTCTTAATGTGTTGTAGTTCCACTAGATCTGCTAAAGAAATAACCATATGTTTTCATTTCTCTGCTTTCTCAACAATTTTTTTTTCCAGGTGAAAAGCAACAAGTAGATAATGCCAGCCATGCTCTTGAGAAGCTTCTAAACGTCCTTGTAGAAATCATAGTTGATGTTCCTATCCTGTAAGTAAAATACTGTTATCGTTATATATACAGGGTGAGCTATAGTAAACTCCCAAAAACAGATACTAAGAATAGTAAGTCTTTTTTTATTTCATGGAACTTCTTATAAGGACTTGTATATCACATACTCATTATTAATTACGGTGGACACTTTGAACATTTATATAATGTTATAGAATCAGTGATCACACAAATATAGTATAGTCATTAAAAAAGCTTCTGGTGTTACTTGTGGTTTTAAATTAAGAAATCGAATAATGTATAATACTGTAGATTATAATTCAAATTATAGTATAATACCAAATTTATTGACATAAATTCATAAAATAGTAGTTCAATAAAATTTTGAATACAAGTCAACAAACATGATGACATGGCCTTTGACCCGTGACTCGTGGCGATAGCGTTTAATAATATTATGTTGTGTTGTTTTATATCGTCCAACTATTCTGAATTTATCAAAATCATTCTCCCTCTTTTCAAATTACAATTTTTAGGTATTCATTTCCAATATTTTTAAAAACTTTTTGGTTAAAACTGTGGCTAAATTTTTTAAAATTGTAAGTTCTGTGTTTTTCTTTAATTTGTAAATTGGACTTGCTGAGAGCAACAACGAATTAAGTTGAAAAATGGACATGGCATATTTTTATTGGTTGTACAATATTAATCAAAAACACCAAAAGTCAAGATCATTAGTTACAAGTAAGATGAACATTCTGAAAGTTTGGTACCATTACTATCACTACTTAGTTATGCAAGTTGCAATGCAAAGCCAGTGATCAATTCTTAAAACTTTGTTTTGTTATTCATTCTTATGGATTTATCATATGCTTTTTATACATTAACATTTTGAATAAGCTAAAATTCACTCCTAAACTTCATCAAATACATTTCAATCAAAAATAATAATTCCAGTGAATGATGCCCCAACCAACAGAGCAGAATTTTGCTACTTCCTGAAATGTATTTACATTGATTGATTAAAGTTGTTTCAATTAAAAATATGGTAGGTATGTTATTTGTCTTGTTTTTTACATGTTTCTGAATTTTTAAAAATTAATGATCACAACTTTGTAACTAACTCATTATGAATAATATCGTTCCTACTAACCCTTATGAAATTAATTGCAGTTTTTGAGAACCAAACTATAGTTTTCCTCAAAACTGCAGTGCTTAAAAAATGTCTTAAAACCTTTAAATACTTACAAAATACTATTTTTAAACATTATCAGTGAAATCTGTTAAAAGCTAACTACTTACATATAACTAAAAATTAACCTAGAAATTAATATAGCTAATTAAATATACCACTCATTAAACAAAACTTGTAAAGATTAGAATGCATTGATTCATCAGTGGGGTACTCTTGCTGTTAGCTTTAATTTTCCCATAATTCAAATAATTTCTAATGAGGTTTGGTAAGTTTAAGAGATTTGGGATAGTCCTAAATCTGTGGCTGAGTTTGACCCAGTGGTTAATATGCCGTATTATGGGTCTACGGATTCATCGTCTCCCTGCTCATTTACAGCAAAAAAAAAAAGTGTCTTTTGCTCTAAGGTTGTGGGTGTGTTATAAGGATTATTATGAAATCCCAATATTCTGTCAAACAAGAGTAGCCCAAGATTTAGCAGTGGGTGCTGTTGAGAAACTGCCTTCTCTCTAGCAAGGGTACCTAACTGATGAATCAGTTCATTCTAAGCATTACAAGTTTTTTGTTTTATTGCTCTTGCCACCCTGTTGTCAACTATTTAAAAGTGTTCTAAGTTCTGGGTATTTTGAAATCTTCTTGTTTTTCTGGTGATTTTTTTTACTAATTCTTTCATCTTGAATTCAAAACTGGGGATGGTTACTGCATATATCCTTTTAATAGTTTTGTTCAAATATCCAAAAATAAACAAACAAGTTTGTTTGCGTAGCTAACAATGCAAAATAAACCATATAATAAAAAATATATATTTATATATGTGTTTATAAATAATAAATAATAGAAAAAAATTAGTGTGTTGTATATATCAGACATTTGATCAATACTGTTAATTAAAGTAACATTAAAGAATTAGTGGATTATAACTAAACTTACAAAACACATAAAAACTAATTTTTGCTTTATGAACTATCATTGATTTCCAGTCCCTTGAAAACTGTGAATTACACATTGTTGGGTAACAAGTTAAAGCAGTTTCTGTGATAACATTTCTTAGTCATGAATTGTTTAAATCATATTGATGAGAATGGTTATAAGTATGAAAACCACAATCGGAATCAGTAATATTACCACTGTCAGATTTTTCAAATATATTCAGTCTTAAAATAGAAGAATATGCATGTTAAAGTAATTGATTAAAATAAGAAATTAGAAACAAAAGTATTTGTCCTGAAAATCTTTGTGAATTATCTATCCACTGTGATCCAAATACTGGTTCATTGAGCTTTCACACAATTTATGGTTCTTGTTCAAGTTGCTGTTTTTCGACCTATATAAAGTAGTATTTCTATTCAAAAATGCCTTCAAGAAAAAAAATTATTATTGAAAATATATTTTTATAATAAAGAGATTTTCAAAATGACCAGAAGCTTGTTTAACATATTGATAAAAGCATTCATTCAGTTAAAGAGGTTTCATTTGTTGGTTGTGAACATATTGTTGCGTCATCGAGGTCACGTGACTGGTGTGGCGCCCTCTAGTTTCTAGAACTATCTTGTTCCTTCAGGAATGCTCTAATATTTACTAGATAGGGTAGGCTGGTATATATAAGAGGGGGACAATGTGACGCGGTAATGTGTGTATAGACAGTGAGTAATTGAACTGCAGTCAGAGAGCACAAGAGACGTTACAGCGTTTGTTTAGCACAATTGTTGAAGTTGAGTGTTTCGGTAAAGTTATATTCGGAAAGAATAAACCAGTTTTATTAAGAAAGGACTTGTGTCGCTTAAGTTTCGTCGGAACGAAGTTACGGAAAATCAATTAACAAACGGAGACGTAACAAATTGGTGTCAGAGAGTGGGATAGAAAAAAAAAAAGAGAAGATGGAAATGAGAAGCGGCAAATCAAACTACAGCCTAGCAGATTTGATGGCAGCAATACAAGAACAGCAAAAGAAACAGGAAGAGAGACAACAGCAGTTGCAAGAAAACCTGCAACAATGGCAGCTCGAACAACAAAAGAAACAAGAAGAACGAGAAAAGAAACAAGAAGAACGAGAAAAGAAACAAGAAGAA